CCCTCTTGCTCAGTGGCCTTCCTGCATCCCCTCTCTCTTCCCTTCCTTAAATCTTTAACAGCCACAAAAACTTCCTACTCACTTCTCTACACTTGTTCCTCCTATTCGGAATGTTGGCTGTTTTGTTTGTTTTTTTAGACTCCCTAATATTACGCTTTAACGTGACCCGCAAGACGTGCTTTAGACCCGTCTTCTTTCGTGTCCTGTATTGGCAAAATGAGTTCAGCGAGCTCAGATTTTTTGACCCACAGACCTTTACAAGTGGTTTTGTGTTCGTATAGTCTCTTGTGAATGGGTCGGCAGGTTTCAATCACATATACCTTACCACATAAACACAAAACCTTGTAACAGCCTGATCCAGAAAGAGGGTCTGAATATTCTCTGAACGACTGAACTACTGAAGAAAGTGTTAATTACTTTTTTTACGTTGTTTTTATGACCATAGGTATGGAAAGTAGAGCGGAATACTCCGGAGTATCGTCATAAGAAGCATACGACTCAATGATTCTGAGTTCTGGCAAGAGTTACAGAAAAAACGAATTTATATGTCTCTTGGAAACGAGTATCAAGAAAAAGCAAAACAACGCAACATACGAATTGTGATGAACAGATGGAAGGACGGAAATTATGAAAATAAAGCTAGAGAAACAGATGAAAAACGATGAATGTGTCTACTCTCATGCGAAATGGCTTGGAAGCTGCAGCAGATATTATGGAAATGGAATATTCGTACAATTCGAAAGGAAAGGATAATCCTCTTCACTAACCTGCATAACCAGCATGAAGAAGTCAACAGAATGGAGTGCTCCCGAGTGTACAGCCTAAACTGCGAAGACTGTAAACAAAAATACATTGTAGATACGGGAAGTACAAAGATCAAAGTACACCAGCGAGTATTCCAAAAATTGGACACGGAAAGATCGCAGATAGCTGAATATATCGCCCGTATCGGTCACACAATTGATTAGAATGAAACGGAAAGATTGGCCTCATCTGGGAAGAACACTAGAAAACGGAAGATCGGGGAGGCTGTGGACATCCTCTTTCAAAGAAACCTGATGAACAGGAGGTTGGAAGAGGAAAGAGTCAGCGATAATTCCGTGCACTGCCTAAGCAAACTTGGAGATTCTTTGAAGACATCAAAAAGAAGAGGCTTAGGCCCAGGACAAATATTCAACAAAAGTAAGAGACATAATCAAGAAGCGGCTTTTGAGGGACAAAGGAAATTTAAGCTAAGGCGATTGCAGTGAAAGGAGTCAAACATGGAATCGGCTAAAAATTTACCCGAGGGGGTCAATCTGTGAGATGCTGGATAGGAAATTAAAGGCTAAACGTATAGGTAGGCCAAATAAAGGTCGCGGGTGTCTGTTTGCTTGCATGCATTTTTCATGTGTGTGCTTTAAGGGGAGAAGACTGGTGACAAGAAGGAACACAAGGGATACCAGCCAACACACATAAATGAACATCATCACAGTACCCTTTTGATTAGATGGGAGTGTCAAGCTGAGGAAAGAGAGGAGTATGCTTTTTGCGATTCAAGGCGAAAAGAAGGAAAGCGGTGCATTTTTACCAGCTGATATGACTTACGCCGGACACAATACCCTAAATAATGAGACACAAGATGGGTGGAGATGAGAAAGAGGATAACTGATTCACGGGTTTAAAGTCCAGGGAGAGGAAGATTCCCAGGCAATGGCATGGAAATCGACATGGGCATAATATACCCTAAATTATCGAATATGGCGTGATCGGGGCCTGGAATTGAAGGCTCTTAGGCAGCCAGATTTCAGGCAGCCAAACAGTGCTTTGGATGTGCAGCAGAAACCAATTGGCAAGCGGGGTAGGAGAAATGGGGCAGATTATGGGTCAGGCGTCCTGCAAACGGCACTTGGTACCGGTTGCAGAGATGAGCACACTTCTCTAAACCCACTTGTAATGATACTCTAAAGCGACATTGGAGGAAACGAGAGCACAGAATTGTGTGAATAAGTGGATGGGCCATATGAAAGGGGACTGAGAGAAGGGGAAACAGAACTAGAAGGTAGAACATAAAATAGTGGCGAGGAGTGATGCAACAACGGCTGAACAGAAAATTGTTCAAACAGCTTGTCTTCACTTGTCAATTTGATAAGTTGTAACCCTGTACTGATGATGGCGCCTCTCATTGACTATGAAGGTAAAAAGTTTAGGAAGTGAGTAAATGGTCTGAAGCTGGAAATCCCGAATACTGTGGCAGAGGACACCGGAATAGGCGCATTCTACAAAGTCTCCCTGACGCTCCGATCAAGTTGCGAAAACAACGTTGAACCAGCACAACAAAACTTATATGAGATGTATTCACCCTATTTCGTTTAAGGTGATGAAGAATTGGTTATCTCGAAACCCTAATTATAAACTTAAAAAAACGAAAAACTTAGTTACACAGAATCTGATTACTTTAAAATTTTTTAAGTAAACGGAATATCCTGGAAAAATAAGCTAAAAGTATGCATGAAAATATGATTTAATGGATATGGTTTGGTTTCATCTCGACTAGCATGACCATATCTGTAAGCATAAACGACACTTAGAAGAACGCAACTAGTCCGGAGTAGACTGTAGGCATAACCATTTCCAATGTAGGACCATGGACGTGGTACATTCCCAGATGTTTCGCCGGCATTGTCAGTGAGTCTCGCCATTCTTAACACAACACAAAAACTCGTCAAAGAGGCAAGTGAAGCCGATCCTTTGATCAAACGTGTGCTAAACAGTTGTGGTATCTCTCCGTCTGCCCTGAGCTATTAACTGATAATGCCGACTACGATGCCGGCGAAACGTCTAGGCATGTACCGTTTCCACGGTCCGACTTTGGAAATAATAATGCATACATTGGACTCCCGACAAGGTGCCTTCCTCTAGGTCTTCCTACCAATCTGACCAAGTTGCAAAAACAAGGTTAAACAACTTCTATACAACGAAAGAAGACTGCGACCACACAAGAGGCCACACCATCTTGGTCTTCATACCTTAGATAAACTACTCTTGTTCATTAGTTAGTATGTTGTTGAAACTACCAGTAGATCAAACGTATGAGATGTGTTCATCCTATTTCATGTAAGGTGACGAAAGACTGGTTGTTGAATGGTTACAATATGATACAAGTAAACCTTACGCCTTGCTTTCGAAAGGTATTCTCATCCAGGCTTAACTGGAGTGCAGTTTCGATCTCGCCTGCGTTTCATTGGCATCCCCAGCAGGACTCGAACCATAACAGTGCAGTATAATCTCGAAACGTTAGCCGCTAAACCACATTGTCACGAACTTGGTAGACAGGGCAGATGTGCATTTTAAGGAAGACTAGGCACTTTCCAATAGCACATTCTGTCGTAGAATTTTCGATGAAGCAAGGTTATCTTTACTATAGCAATCAAATACATTGATTACTGAAGATATGAAGACCAAGATGGTGTGGCTTTTTGTGTGGTCGCAGTCTCCTTTCGTGGTATAGAAGTTGTTTGACCTTGGTCATATTGGTAGGAAGACTAAGAGGAAAGCACCTAGTCCGGAATCCATTGTATGCATGATCATTTACAAAGTCGGATCATCAGCACAGAGTTAAAACTTATAAAAGTGGCAAGTGAAGGCAAGCCCCTTGACCAATTTTATATTCTCCAATATCTACGACCTCTTCTTCTGTTGTAGTTTTTCTTACACTGGGACCTTCAAGTTGATACATTCCTTGAGTCACACTCTTTCGGATTCAGTCTGTCATGTGACAGACAGTAGTTGCACAAAAGCCTTCCAGCTCTGAATATGTTTTCATGTGGTAGAAAAACCAGAGGAAAGGAGACCAGGTATGTACTTGTCTTCTGTCAAAATCGGCAACTGATGCGAACAACAGGGAAAATCAACGAGTAGTGTGTATGAATTGATATTAGACCTGGAAATATTTGCATCTGATGAAATTCTTTAAATAATATTTGATGCATACGCGACCAGATCAAGATATAGAATGTAAAATAACATGAAAACTAGAAGTGTAAATGTCCTATACTATTACATTTATATTGTAATTCAAGTCTATTTCATTCTATTCTTTACATTTCTTTTTCATACACTCCATCTTGCCGTTTTGCCTATTCTGTTTCTTTCAATGCATCTCTCATTAAGGTTGAACTGACGTTCTGCCACGTTCTGTGCCTGCCTCATTCTGGCCCGACGCCCGAGTTCTCAAGTCTCGGCAATGACCTTTACTTAAATGCTACTACGCCTGTCTTCCGCAGCATCCATTTAGTTTTAAATGTTACACTTCAGATCCGGAACAGATACATTGGCATATTTTTGCTCTTGCTGTCCCTTCTGTATGCACAAATCTAATCTAACGGTCACGGCTAACTCTCTCTGGGAGCCTAGCTTCTGCCTCGTGGAGAACTAGTATGTGGCTTACTGGCGTACCTGTCTGCTGGCATTTACAGGCGTAAGTTGTATCTCTCATATGCTGCCGTATGGACGGGTAACTGGGTCTGTGACCGTGTGCTATTCGTCACCAAAGTCTGCCGCTCCGTCTCACCTCATTCGTCCCGACCGGGCCAGCCCATCCTCGAGGTTGTAGCTGGAGCTAGAAAAGTCTAGCCTTTTCGCGCCATTCGTGTTGGACGCCCCGACGACAGAGTACAGGGCTCCGCCAGCCCATTGGTCTGGCCCTTGTCTACAA